TCTGTATATAGAATCTATAACATTCTTCTATCGTTTGTGGACAGGATGTATGGAACAAAACATGGTACCCAAAAGCTGAAGACCATGTGAACACAGAAAAGACATGGTATGTTGTTGATGCAACTGATAAAATTCTTGGAAGAATGGCATCAGCTATAGCAGTTCACATACGTGGGAAGAATCTTCCAACCTATACTCCTAGTGTAGACATGGGAGCATTTGTAATTGTGGTATACATTCCTCTACTTCATCTTTTATAACAATCTATTGTAATCAACTATGAGCATAATTTGTAAATATTAGGTGAATGCTGAGAAAGTTGCTGTTTCGGGTAAAAAGAGGCTACAGAAACTTTACAGGAGGCATTCAGGAAGACCAGGTGGAATGACAGTGGAAACTTTTGATCAACTTCAACAAAGGATTCCTGAAAGGATTATCGAGCATGCTGTTCGTGGGATGCTTCCTAAAGGAAGGGTAAGTTCACAAACTTTTTGTTTGATTTGAGTAGTTTTTTGGTATAATCAAAGAGGAAAACAATATTTTCCAAAATCACCCTTCCAATTTTCATATTTTGTTAAATTTGTTATAATTATTTTGTAGCTTGGACGAGATTTGTTTACTCATCTTAAGGTGTACGAGGGACCCGATCATCCACATCAAGCACAAAAGCCCATAGATTTGCCGATAAGAGACAAAAGGATACAAAAACAAACCTAGATTCCATGTCTTTTTTTTTTTTTTTTTTGCAAATTAAATGTTGAACTTACCTTCTAATTAAATGCAAAAAAAGATTATTTTTTGAGCAAAATATTGTACAAAATTTGATTCCAAGTATCGGGAACCCCAGCTAGGCACCAATGGCTACAATCTCGACCTTCATCACCGTATATGGACGGGTGGCCATCTTTTCTTAGTTGCGTAAGAAGCGTTATATCCAATAAATAAGCCGGATTTTTCATTTTGACCAAAACGCCCTTCACTACGTGTTGCCCCGGGTATCTTTTCCCGGGAAAATGAAGTCCATGAATAGGTAGGGTTTGCCCTTGACAATTTCGAACATTTGGCTCATTCCAATCTTTGCCCCTATTCACACAAAGTCGATTAATAATTTGAACAAAAGCAACAAAAACAAGTTACAACCAAAACCCTAAAAATGCATTACGATGACTTGGACTTAGTCTGTGTTTAGGACTCTGACTGATGTTAATGGGACAATATAATAAAAAGATGGACAAACCGATGTTAACGAGACAAATTTCCCAAAAAAATGAGAAAACGTCTTCACTTTTTAATCTTTAGTTTGAGAAAAGACGTGAATGTCTATATTTTTGTCATCAAAAATAGCTTTAGAAAGTTTATCTTGTCTTATCTGGTCCAATCTAATCTTGTCTTGTGTAACAAATGCAGTCTGATTAAATCAAATTATTTTTTAGCTTACTCATCATGAATGGCGGAGATCCCTTGAAAAAAGACTCGGGTCTTGTTAGGATTAATGTTCGAGTCAACCCATTTCGCCCATGTGGTCAAAGCGATCTTGTAAGCTTCCATTCGTCCCATGTCTTTGTATATCTCTTCCCCGACTTGGTAGTAATCCCATCTACACCCAAAAAAATCAAATCATATGATTCAAATAAGATGATACTTTTCCATTTTTACTTAAACAAAGAAAGAACAATTTAACAGAGAAAGAATATGAATGACACACGTTTGAAGGGATCCGCTATGTGTCCACCAATGATAGCTATTGAAGATCAAAACATCTACTCCCTCCCATTTCCCTCCTCTACTAATCGAGTCCAATTTTAGAACTCGACTCTCTTTCTCCACCACAAGGTCTACAAGAAACCCGTTTTTCAAGTACATAACCGAAACTCCATATTCCTTCAACAAACACAAAATAAAACTTCAAATTTGCAAAACAATGCAAATAATAAACACAAAATTTACATCATTAACTTACTGGGAATGAAAGATTTGAGAGTGGTCCTTCACGCGTGAAAGTATGCTTAGTGGAAGGAACCGAGTGATAAAGCATGCATGCGAGTGATTGCCACTGGTTTGAACTCAGTGAGTCGCCCACAAACATGATTTTCTTGCCTCTATTTCTCCTCAAAAACCTTTTGCCACTGAAACTGTACATTTCCATTTGTAAAATACTAAAAGTTATTTGCAATTTTTGCTAGGGAAAACTATAATGAAATCCAGAGTAAAAATTAGCAGATATGATTGGAATCCATTTGTTTGAAACGTTGATTGAATGAACTGAAAGTCTGAAACAAGGATAAATTGATTCAGCAACAGATTATTCGTTTATTCCAGCAATTCAGCATTCGAAATTTCTAGAAAACAATTTGTTCTTGAGCTCATAAACTAAAACCACAAACAGATCCCCTACATTATTGAAAAAGCTACTAACCTCGCAAGAGCACAACGATGAGGTTGCCATCTGAACTTGAGGTACATCGTGTCGTCTCTTCCGTTCTTCTGACAGTTCAATCCGGAGTCTACGAAGGGGCATTCAGATCCGTTATAAATCGGGTACGATGGATCCATAATCCAGCTTCCTTTGAACAAATTGCACTCGTTTGATTGTCTACTTCTACTTCTTCGAGTTCCTTTTCCATTGTCGTGAGCTTGAGAGATCAGAATCGTTAGTAGAAAGAAAATGGCAGCGAAGGCGGTACGCAGAGTGGTTTTGAACATGGTGAACACGGAGAGCGAGAAAGGGAAGAGACAGCAGAAAAGACTGGTGGTTGGGTACTGTGATTGGCTGATTGCCCTTATATAAAGTTTAAATTAAATTTTATTTAAATAAATACCATGTTTTTAGAAAGAGAAAATGAAAATAGGCATTTATTTTTTCTAAAGTTTTTTCATGATAATCATAATTTCATAGTGGGATAGTGACTTCTGAGAAGGAAATAAATTTTTAATTTTGTTTATATTTGATCATTGGATTTTTTTTTCGTGCTAGATTTATCTTTGAATTATTTGATTGTTTACATTTTACCTTTATCATTGGTTACAACGGTTATAATGGAAAAATGTAAACAATTTTAAATAATTTAAAGTAAATAAAGCAAAAAAAAAGTTCAACGACTAAATATAAACAAAATTAAAAGTTTGGTAGTCTTTCAAGTCATTATTCCATAAATGGTTATAAATGTTACTAAGAATAAACAAGCATAAATATAGATCATAAAAGTGAAGATGTTGAGGTAACAAAAACAACACTTAGAAATGTAGTATGAATGGATTTAATCACATAGAAACCGAAGGAAAAAAATTGTGGTGCTTTTAGACATATACTTAGGACATATGAGACGGTCTTTACTGCATATGGTGTATACGATTGTTGTAGTCTAACATTTGAATTGGGTATGTTTCTTTTTAGCCTTTTTATTTAAATTATTGCATTTTGGACCTTGGGGTTAGTATGCTTGGCGTACCATTGGGTAAGCTTAGTGTATTAGCTGAGAAGATAGTATGCGGGGCGTACCACATGGTACACTTAGTGTACTAAGGACAGAATCAGATCGCAGAGTTGAGCCTCGTACGTTGTGCGTACAAGGGTTTAATGAAACCGTAATTTTAGGGTGTTGCACCCTATATAAACTCCTTAAGTCCCTAGTGTTGGCCTCTTTATCAGCCTCCATACCTCCTAAACCCTAGATTTCGACCCTTAGCCATCATTTTTGAGCTCTTAAGAAGAAAGTTGGTGCTTATTTGATCATTTTGAAGGGATAGAAGAAAGTTGAAGGTTCATTGCTTAGTGTAAAGCTTAGAGATCCATAATCATCACTCATTTTGCAAGTCATTTGAGGTATAAATATCTTATCTTGACAAGTTCTCTTATGCATCTTCTTTGGATATGTTTATGGCCATTTTAGTCCCTTTTGATTGGTCTTGATGGGTGAAGATCGTTTTAGAAGCTAAATCTTGTAAATATGGATGTTTGAAGGGCTTATTAAGCTTGAAGGTGCAAACTTTATGGTGTATTTGGTCTCATGCATGCATTAAATCATCTATTGAGCTCTTTTGAGCTCTAAGAGCCTCATTAAGCCATGCAACTTTACGTGATAAACCATCATAAGGAAGTCAGATCAAAATTTGGATTGAGGTCTTAATCGATTAAAGCTAGAAAAATGGAAGTTAGCCAAATGGGGGAGTATGTTGGCGTACAAGCAGGTACACTTAGCGTACAATCCCTAAAGCAAGTATGTTGCGCCTACGTGCTGAGTACGCCCCGCGTACTCAGCGGGTTGGGCTTCGAACTCTTGGGCTTTGGATTTGGGCCATGTTTGGACTTAGATGTTTAAGGCCTTGTTGGGCCATCAGGTTTTTGGGCTGATACTTGTTTTGGGTTCACTTGGAAAAGGACAACAAAGTTGGGCCGAATTTGGAAAATTAGGTCATGATTGGGCCTTGGGTGATTATTTTGGAATTTTGGCTTTTAGACAACACCATTGGGGCTTTGGGCCAAGTTAGGTAAAGGGTATAAAGGTCTTTTACCCTATTTTAGGCTCTTTATGTGAGTTGGGATCCAATTATTGATTGGATGATTATTTTGTGATTGATAGCGTGGGTATTTTTGCGAGACAACAGCTAGAGATTCTTTTTGTGAGATTCGAAAGTGCGAGGTGAGTTTCCTCACCATGATTAGCGGGTTGAAGGCATCAATTCTGGCCCATGATTTTGTTATGTTAGGATGTTAGATGTCTGTGCGACTCTCATATATGTTATATACTCTTATGCTTACCGGGTGGGGCCCGATGACCATTTTATATGCTATGTATCTTCGTGATTATTGCATGTGTGTTGTGTTTATATGTGTATATGTATGCTGGGTAGGGCTCATTGACTGATAGATCTATATATTGAGCAAGGCTCATTATCGGGAGGGGCCAAATGCTTGGGGGTGGGGCTATGAAGGGTGGGGCCCATTCTAAGTTTATTTATGTATGTATGGTATGTGGTATTTAGGGAACTCACTATACTTTGTGCTTACGTTTTTCAGTTTATGTTTAAGGTACTTCTGGTTCCAAAGGGAAGCGCTCAGGATGATTACAGAGCACACACCACTCGGTTCTACATTTTATGATTTACTCTGATATTGATGATGTATTGATACATTTAGATAACTTTGGTTTTATGAAAATGATGTGGTTTGATGTTTTACTAATCTAAAAATGAAAAATTTTATGGTCTTATTTTGGGACGTTACAAGTTGGTATCAAAGCCTTAGTTTGAGGGATTCAAACATACTCTCGGGTGTGTCTGAACTCAAACTGAGGATTTGGTAAAGTTTTTCAAAAAGGAAATGTTATTTTGGGAAAACTTACTTGAGCTCGGTCAGTTGCATACACCAAACCCTTTCTTGTATTAGATAGCCCTTTTCAATAAATCATTTCCTGTTTGAAAACTTTAACCAAATCCTCAGTTTGAGTTCAGACACACCCGAGAGTACGTTCGAATCCCTCAAACCAAGGCTCTGACACCAACTTGTAACGTCGCAAGAGTTAAGACTAAAATTTTCATTTTTAAATTAATAATATTGTAATCCAAAACATCATCACGAAACCAAAGTGGAACCAAAGGTGTTAATGCATCATAAAATATCAAATTAAGTCAAAAAAATGTGTAATAAGGAGGTGTATGTTCTACTATCATCTCGAGCTCTTCCTTTTCGAACTAGAAGTACCTTGAGAGAACCCCTA